CATGGAAAGTCCATAAGGTTTTTAAAGTATACAAACATATGTAATGATTTTAAAGGCCCGTAATGCTTGAAATTTAGCAGATGTTTTGGAAATATTTTCAATAAATTATATGTTATATTTATTATTCAGTAAAAATTAAACTTTAATTAAATTAAACATTCAAAATCACTACTCATTATTATCAATGAATTTCATAATCTCCATTACTATTTCTCCTAAAAAGTTCTTCTCTCCTGGGTAGAGGCTTAATATCAACGTAGTTCAATAAATTAAATATTATTAAAAGTTGACACAAAACTTAAATTCTCATCGAATAGAAGATTAGTTAACTTATGATATTTTGGTCACCAATCAATCAAAGCTTTATTTGGCAAAATTTATAAATCATTTATAAATGACAACTTTACTTTCTATCACACATTCCACAAAAGTATTACCCACTAATTTACCGATCATTTCTATGTATTTATAAATAAAACATTTATAAAGTCTGTTGTATTTCGAACCCTGGACCTATAATAAAGAAAGTGTGATTCCAAAATTTTTAATGTGGTAAAATATGTTTTCGAAATAGCACTTTACTGGTTGGAAGCTATTCGTTGTACTGTTGACACCTGACGTCTTGATTAATGTTGGATCACACTCTAGAGACTTTTGAATTATATCTTTCAACGCTTTGTCTCGGGGATTGATTCATTCTTGGCTTTGGCTGTTCTTCTACCCTCTAGAGAGAAAAACATCATTCTTCGTTAGGGTTTCACATTCTTGAGTGATTAGAGTGTGTAAGTGTTAGAATCTCTTAGATATACTCCTGATCGTAAACTTGTGATGTTCTTTTTTGAGTGATTTGTAAGAATCTACGTGATTCGTGTGATCGGTGGAGTTGGTGACAGAACTGAGGGCTCTGTCATGATTCTTGGCTAGAAGGTGTTTTCGATCCATAGTCTTGTGTAAAGTTAAATCTCTGTGGCTTCATCTTTTACTTTTGAACTAATTGTAATTGTTGGTCGCCATATTTTTGGCTTATAGTACAACCGAGCTTTATCCATTTATAATGGATGCTCAATAGAGGATTAGGCATTAGACACGGTCATCGAACATCTGGGGCTTCAGCCGGAAAAATCCTTTGTGTTGATTTTTGGTTTCTGTTACTTTCTTTATATGATGTGTTAGTTTTGAATCTTTGATTAATCTTGAGTGTTTCTCGAACTTTTCAAAGTCTCCCCAACAGATGCTAAGATTTTGGATTTTGCTAAATCCAAATACGTTGACATAGTTATCGAGCTCCTATCTATAAAATGTCTTGAGAAATAGTACCCAAACGTTTAAAGATTGAGCTTGAGGAGGAATCAGTGAGGCATGAATGCTCGCCCAAAAAAGACTTAAGGTCAAGCTTGATTAAAAATAACTAAAAGCTAACACAACATCAAGATGCTTAGACTCGACAAAGTCAACATGGCTCAATAAGTTGCTTAGATTAGAAGCATATCTATATTTCACAATCAAGATGAAGTGAATAATAGAATGTACCATGTAGAGATGGAAAAAAAAAATCTGCCTCGCCACGCCCCAAATGGGGCAAAAAAAACCAACCCCAACTAGGGATGGCAATTTGAACCGTCAAAACCAAAAATCGCGGTTAACCGAACCAAATGGGACGAAAAAAATCGAACCGATGATGCAATGAGACGGATATGATTTTTATTTTAATGAACCGGTTCATGGCGGTGTGGGTATGGTATTTACACCGTCGAACCGAAACCGAACCGATTACCCGCTAAAAAAAAATAATTAAATTGATTATTGGGCTTTACACTACTTTTCTATCTAGCCCCAAAACAAACCCCCCCCCCCCCCCATTATATCTACCTGACTCGGTCAACCCACTTATCATTAGCCCATAATAATAGTATTAGTATGACAATATATAAATGCAAACCCTATTCTCTACAAACCACAAACTCACACACGGCTCTTTTTATTGTTAATTTTTTCTAGTGTGTGTAGAAAATTCTACTTTTTCATCATACTCTAGAGTTTGTGCAATGTTTAGCGAGAAGGAAGCTGACGAAGAAGTACATTTTTTATTTAAATCTTAGTTAAGACCATTCTAAAATAGGTAGTATCGTTATATTCTCTACTTATATTTCTTATTTACTATATAGGAATCAACTTTGAGTGTTGATCTATGCTAGAAGACTTGTGGGGAAGAATGAATCAAATAAGTTCGATGCACAACAATTAAGAATGAATGAAAAGTTTAGTATTGTTATATTTATAATGTTGTTTGTTAAATTTGTATTTTACAATTGAAAATTGAGATAATATTTGCATTTTCGTTTGGAATATTATTTGATAATGTTTGCATTTTCATTTGGAATATTGTGTTTTTGTTTTCATTGACTTTTTTCATAAATTGTTTTATATCAATTTGACGTATGAACCTATAAAAAATAATTTATTTTCGTGGTTATTAACCGAACCGAACCGTGTCGAACCAAGATACGAATCGAATCGATTTACGTGGTTATGGTGCGATTATGGTATGGTAAATAAATTGGTGGTGCGGTTATGATTTTGGCCAAACCGACCCATAACCGAACCGTTGCCAACCCTAACCCCAACGGGTTGGTAGAGCGGGGTGGGGCGTAAGTCGCACGCAGTCTCGAGTCTCGGGGATAACGGCATATTTTTAATTTTAATGAGGAAAGAATGAAATATAAACGGGAGCTAAAATTAATTCCAAAAGGACAAAAATGCAACCCTAACCTAAAATTAATTAGTTTTGAGTATTATTTGCTTTAGATTTTAAAATTTTGAATTTATATTTTATTTTCTAATAATATCATAACTCGAAATTTTGAAACTGCAAAAAAAGGGGAGGGGGGGGGGGGGAAGAGGAG